TCTTTCCTGATGAAATAAAATCTTTAGCCTTTGCACTTGGGATAACGGATGCCATAATTCAGAAAGGAAGAAAGTATCCACCTAAAGTTCCAAGTATAAGGTTGAAGTAATCTGTCTTCAGCCTACGGTTCCTCACAAAGCAGCCTGTACTGGGTAAAGCCATCTCTTTACTGTTAAGCATATTTCCTGGAAATCTTCATTCAGAAGAAAGGAAGACAGATGTCCTAGCTTTGTAATCAGCTTTCCAGTCTATGTACAAAAACCTACTTATGTGGTCATGCCCAAATGATTGACACCGGGAGTTATCAGCCCTTCCTCATTTGAAATGAAATCATGCCATTCATGATTTCACTCTTTAGCTCAACAAGTTGGCTCCATCAGAAACTTGCAGAGTATTTCAGTTACTCACTGCTGAGACATAACAGACAAAAGTAACTTAAATAAAGAAGGCTTTATTTTGGATCACAGTTTGTGATGGTTTTAGTATGTTGTGTTGGGGGAGAGTGTGATGACAAAAGGCCCCCTGGCTGTGGTGGCTGGATCAGGAGAAAGCTGTTCTATATTACATCTGAGCCAGAAAGTAGAAAGATGAACTAGACCAATCAGCTCATTTATCTTTCCTTTTCTTCAGTCCAGTTCTTCTTTCTGCAGCCAAACCTCTGTAGCAGATACCCTCATACACATCCCCAGGAATGTGTCTTTCAGGTGATTCTAAATCCCGTCAAGTTGGCCATGGAGATCAAACATCATACAAAATATCCATATCCAACCTAGATAGGTAGTTCTTCTCAAACACAGAAAATGTATACATGTTTGTATCCCAGTTTTGTTTGTTTGTTTGTTTTGGTTTTTAGACATAGGGTTTCTCTGTGTAGCTTTGGAACCTGTCCTGGAACTCACTTTGTAAACTAGGCTGACCTCAAACTCACAGCGATCTGCCTGAATCTGTTTCCCAAGTGCTGGAATTAAAGGCATGTGCCACCACTGACTAGCTGTATCCCAGTTTTGAGCTCAGTGTCTGATATGTAAGTTGATGCTTAGTGGGTGGCTTTAAAAAATAAAAACATTCATGACTCATTCCACAAAAATATAAGGTTCTAAGACAGCCACAAGTTTGACCTAAATTTGCAAAGGATAAGTATATACTTTTACTTTTCTGTCCCGAGGATTCATCTTTGGTTTTCATTCCCCAGGCTTCAATCCTGCAAGTCAAGTGCTCTATCAACTGAGCTCTGTCCCCAGCCCTCAGTGGACTCTTGAGAGTACTAGAATGTAGAATCAGTTTGAACACTAGGACAACCTAAGTATTGGGCCTGTCTTGGGCCAATTAGAATGTAGGTTATTCTAGGCATAAAAATCTAGGTGTATAGGTCTATAATACAAAACTCCCATTGAGGTAATATGCAAAGGGTGCAGTGAGGTCTCTTGGGGTGTCTTAAGTGCTTCTTGATGGGATTTTACTAATCCTTCCCTTGACTGTCTCCTTTTCATTGAGTCAATGGTAATCACAAACTATCTCTTGTTTAATAGTTCAACTATTAGCCAGTGGTGAATAGCACAAGCCTTTAATCTCAGCACTCAGGAGGCAGAGGTGGGAGATCTCTGAGTTTGAAGCCAGCCTGGTCTACAGAGTGAGTTCCAGGACAACCAAGGCTACCCAGAGAAACCCTGTCTGGAAAAACAAACAACAAACAAAATTCAACTATTGTGTAGATTCCAGTCAACCTCTTGGTTCTCTAATTACTGGCTCTTATACCTTAGGCTAACCCATTTTACCTTTACCATCACTTCCTGCTACTCTACTTTGTATGTCTGAAGACAGCGTCTCACTATTCAGCTGTGGCTGGCCTGGAGCTCACTATGCAGACCATGCTAGACTCAACTCACAATTGCATCAGTTAAAGGTGTGCACCTCAATGCCTGGCCCCATTGTAACTACTAAAACACACATCTCCCTCTGTTTTTCTTCTCTTTCTTTTCCCTTCTGTCTGTCTTAGTCCGTTTGATCTTTGGCTCTTTGTGTATCTCTCTGCTTCAGTTATCTACTCTTCTGTTTCCCTTTGTTGAATATGTCACCCTTTATAAATTAAACTTGACAAAGTCCCTTGATTAACAAAGGAAATGCATGTCACAGTAAAACATGACACACAGAGCACAGAGATGATTGGGCACATGTCTGTTCATCATTGAGCTTTTATAAAAGGTTCACAAGAAGTGCAGTATAACTGGAAGTGTTCTGACTTACCATACAGCACAATGGCAAACATCTTTCTCAAGAAACACATATCATTAACTGACATTACTACAGCAAACATCTTTCTCAAGAAACACATATCATTAACTGACTTACTGAGAATGGACATTGTTGACTGTTAGATACAGGCAATCCTCAGTGAATTCTTGATAGAATGAATGTAGATATCAGAACAAGCTAGAATTGTTTGGTTACAAAGAGAATAGTGCCTAGATCAAGTGTCTTCTAGGGTTGAGGGAACTTAATTCTCCCTAATATACTCTAGAAAAATGTACACGTTATGTAGGTTAGATTAACAGGCTCATTCAGGAAAAGTTATGAGGAAAAGTATTAAAATCAAGCTTCCTGCATTTGCTTCATTGTTTAATTTGATACAATAGACTCAAACATCTTCAAGATACTCATAAATGTTAGCAAACAAATTAAGAGATAAAATAGTCCATTGATTTAAATCTGATCTAATTTTTCTCTTTATATTGAACCATACTAAGAGTCAAGATAACATTCTGAAGTTGGGAGAGAAGTGACACAACAAGATATTGTCTCTCATTTGGGGAAAATGAAAAGCAGTTAAGAATGTGGTTATTTTAATGCTTAATATTCAGGCATGGGTGCATTTCCTGCTAAAGGAGCCGAATGCAGGTGTTTGAAACATCTGCACCACCCTTCCTGGAAATGGTCCTCTGTATTTTCCAGATGTAAGAAAATTGTTCTTATTGGGAAAATCCTGAAGGAATTTGAGTTCAAAAAGCAAACAGGAAATAAAGTTCTGTTTGTGGAAAGCTCAGGAAACAAAAGCAAATCCCTAAAAAATGTGCCTCCTGCTAAAGATTCTCTTCAGATAATGGGAATGTGGTGTGCTAGTGAGCTGACCAAATTTCTACCCCAAGTCTCCCAGGCTTTCATGCTATGTAAAATAGATCCAGAATCTAGTGCATGGAGATTTCTAGAAGCTGCATCTCTGGATGCTTTAGGCGCATAGGGCAACTTTTCTGCTGAGCTGACTTATAACCCAAGTCATGATGGCAATGTGTGTGTGCTTTTACCCAAAGTTCTCAAGCCAACAGATACAAGGCTGCTGTGTGGTCTGGATATTCTGGCAAAGCATTAGGTTCATGGTGGCATACTCCTTGCCATTCCTTTTTCCAAGTATGGATTAAGCATCTGACTGGAACACTTCAGAGGATACCACAAAGCAAAGACAAACTTGTTCCTCTCCAAGCTCATTCTCCAGTGAGGAGCAGGTCCTTGCCTACTCTACAGACACCCCCCCCCCCATGTGTATTAGTTACTTTGTTAAGAGCTGTGACACAATGCCTGTCTGAAGCATCTTAAGAGGATGCTTTGGTTCGTGGTTTAAGAAATAATTCATCATTGCAGTGAATTTGTAGCGTGTTTATGCTGTTCATGAACCATGCTATTCACAGGTGTCTGTGGTGAGGACCTCTTGTATCTTAGATAAGGAAGCAGAGTGCAGAATGCTGGCATACACCCAGCTTCTCTTTTTTTCTCCTTTAACTCACTCTGGGAGCACAAATCATGAGGCAGTGCTCCCACTTTGGTTAATGCTTTCTCCAAATGTCCTCACAGACATGCCCAGAAGCGTGTTTCCTGGAGGATTCCAAATCCAGTTGACAGTGAAGATTAATCGTGACAGCATGGGACATGGGGAAGCCGTAATTCCTGGTGAACAGAGAGACAGTCCCCAGTGCTTGGTTTCTGGATCCCAGACAAAAAGCTGTTTAAGACAGAAGGTCTGGGCTTTGGAATGGGCTCATAGAAGAAATGAAAAATTGACAAAACACATGTGGGACAGATAGTTCAGAAACATATTCATGAGATGTGCTCTCCTGTACCTTTAGCAACCCACAAGACCAAGTTTCTGAAAAGGAGGACCTAGGAATGGGGAAGTGACGAGTGCTGGTGGGGTTGGATCGAAGTAGATGTGTGATGGGAGAGAATGAAGACTGACAGAAAGCAGTATACATTCTAGAGCTTAGATTTCCCTCCAAATTCTGGACTAAGAGTTATAACCCATGCTGCAACAAGAGTGAGCAGGACCTCCTATCCAACTGGAAAAGCATGGCTGCTAACCATTACAAAAAGTCTCTCTGTGTGTGTGTGTGTGTGTGTGAGAGAGAGAGAGAGAGGGGGGGGGGCAGGGAAGCTGAAGATACTTCTCCCAGTTAACTGAGTGCTTGTGGCTCTTGCAGACAACCTAAGTTTGGCTCCCAGCAGCCACATAGGGATTTCATAACTGCTCGTAGCTGCAGCCACATTCCCAGCCACTTTCACATTCTGTTTCAGATTCTTGTGTGTTCATTTTAATGCGAATTCAACTACCCAGCATGCTAATGCTTTTACACAACTAGTTACATAGGCCTTCAACCAAACACTTAAACTCAGCATTACTCACAGATGCAGTAGTGCTTAATAATCTAGCCAGGCACTTCATGTAAACAAGGAACTAACAAAAACTGTGGAGAGATTCACTAGGTTGGTAGGAATGGGAGCATGTTTATGGAGTGTCAGGCTGCAGAAAGATCAAATAGAATGAAGATGGAGGGAGAACTTTCATAAAAAGTAACTCAAGAGTTCATCAAATTCTCAGGGAAACTTGCCGTTTTACATAGAAAATACAAGGCTGCTACTGCACTTGGCTTACTATTTCAATAGGCAGAACTATGCAAATACTATAATTTCAGAAAAAAATAATAGTAAAAAAGAAATTAAACAGGCACAAGCACAAGTTCTGAATTACTCTGTTTATTCCATTAGGCCACCACCCAGTGCATATTAACTGGGGTACTTAAAAGTCACTTCAATTAGGAACCTCTTGAGACCTTCATCAATTATTTCAAGTGTTTTAGTCTCAAACACATCCATTTCTTCTACAAACTTCTGAAAGAGATGAACACCACCACCAACACCAAAATAATGTGCTTTGCTGGCCAGAAGCACCCGGCCATTCCTACTCAACAGTCTGAGGACTGTTTCATGCAAAGTGTTGTAATAATCTGGATTATAAATGGTTTCTGAGGTGAGAATGAGGTCATATTTCACAAACAGTTTTTCATTTAATACAAATTTACAAAACTCAGACCACTCCCCAGAGAAAAACCGACATTTACATTCTTCTTGGGCTACTTTTGACTTCCTTTGTCTTTTCCCATCTGGCTCATTTACATCATTGCCCTCATCCTTCAAAGGGAAATTAGCAACCACATTAGGTAAGGTCACTTCATCGATCACCAAACTGTTATAATCTTGGAAATGAACTTCTCTGGCTCCTCCTTTGGCTGCAGTTATTCCAAGCAACCCTGATCCACAGCCAAGATCCAACACTTTTTGCCCAGCAAATTTCACTTGGGCCTTTGTGAAATAAGTCAAGAGATCAAAGGTACACTCCCAGATTTTTAAGCCTCCTTCGTAAACACCTGGAATCAAGTCAGAATGAGAAGAAAAACTTTTTGAAACTATGTTTTCTCCAGGGAATTGCTCTTTCAACAAGATGGTTTTCACTACTGCTACGTTAACATGCTGGGGACCTGGCAACATTTCCATAACCTTATTTGCTAAGACTTGATTTAAATCTTTGGGCATAGCATGTTCTTTAGCAGCTCTCAAGAAGGGCTGTTTCTCACATGTTTCTGGGTCACCTGAACGGTCAGCTGCACTGAGTGGGCTGTCAGTGTCTTCAGAGGAAGCTGTTTTTCCCATTGAGGAGCCTTCCCTCAAGCCATCCAGAAGCAAGTCTGACAGTTCTGCAGAACTCTTTCTGTCCTGCTTTCCTTTTTGACCTTTTGAGACTGGTGGTTCTTTTGATGAATCCAGGGTCAAAGTCCCATCTCCACAGGGTATTAATTTGTTTTCCAGGTCTTCTTCTATACTAAAGTTAAATTGAAAGGCCATCCTCGTATTATACACACACAATCTTTATCAAAGGATGATGCTTCAACTTCTAGATGGGATTTAATGGTGTAACTGAGTCACGCTATCAATCAGTTCCGTTGGGATGGATGTCCCTTAGCTGCTTATCCTCCCCTGGATATATTTTAGAGAGGCTTCCAAACACTTTCCAGAGGCCTTTGTTCCTCTTCGAATTCAGCCCTGGAAGTGGGGGAGAGAAGGGGGGGATGGTTATTTAAAAAGCTGTGTAGTGTGTGTAGGGGGGAAATTCACAGATACCTTAAGTATGCATAAGGAGAAGATAAAATACAAAAACAAACAAAATAACAGCTATAACAGCAACCACCTCTACCAGAACAAAAGATAAAGCCCAAGATTTTTAGACAGGACAGACTAGCTACTCGGTGTCTTTTAGCTGCCTTGTGCCCCCTAAATTCCCGACAATCTCCATCTCTGTCTGTTAATCTGCCTCTAAAAACAGTTTAAGGTCTTATTTGGGTAAGGAGGACATCCGTTTTCAGACACGTACAGGTGTGATCTGATGTTTGTAAATTCATCCGGAATTCTAAACGGCATGCGACTGGAGGAATGAATACAAGCTAGGATTGTCGAAAGCAAAATCAATTGCATGGAAACCCTTTCGGCAATGTGCCAGACTTTTATAATACCCGTTTTAACTTGCAAATTTCTAAAAGGTAGGATCTTTGTTCAATCGGCAGGAGCTGTGCAGAGGGAAGAACTCGCACTAGTAACATTATCCCTACTTTCTAACCTTCTGCACTGGGGTGCTGAGAGTCATTCCCGGTTACAGGTCCAGCTCACCCTACGCGCAGAGTCTCAAAACCCCTGGCACTGAGGGTATAACAAACCTGAGGACTTCTGGTCTCAGCACTCTAACGACCCAACAGACATCAGGGCGAAAGAAGTAAGCGGCAGAAGTCCGGCGGCGAAACTCACCATCAAGCACGCAGCGCACACCAGCGAGGCGAGTCCTCCGGTGGCTAGAGAAGACTTGGACGCGTGGGGACGAAGGGCCTCCTCTCTATGGTTTGGTGTGGGCGGAGCGCTCTCAAAGCCTGCTGGGACGGCGTGACTACCGTTCCAACTTGTGGCGGGAGCTGTACTCGCTCGCCCGTGGCTGGCGGCGGAAGGATGTCTCAGGGAGAAGAGGTGGAGGCGAGCCGGGCCATGCTGGATGAACTCAACAGCTGGTCACGGGAGGTGTGCCGCCGGGAGCTGCCTTCGGTGCTGCCCCGGCTCCTCATATCCTTGGAGGACGCTGAGGGGCGGGTCGCGAGCCTCCTGCCTCACTGACGCGGGCGGCCTGGCGCTGCGCTCGAACCCTGTCGGGTGGCGGTGGAAGGGCGAGGACAGCAGTGGGTGCGGGGCCTGGGCCCGCCTGGCATTGTCGGACGATGGCGACTGGAACGTTTGAAGATGACTGGCGTTCTCCCGCCTGTTGGTTCCACTGTCTCTTAGTTCTTCCCTGGGCCGCGCCTGCTGCCGAGTGCGGGACCCAGATGCCAGGCCTGAGCGTCACTGCCAGCGCTGGCGCCCGGTATCTGAAGTGTGAGAATTGAAGGATGCAGTCGTAGTTATTCTGTGGGATCATGTCCTTAAAGGATATTCTGTAAACAAGGAATGCTTTCCCCCTTCGAACCTGTTTTTGTTTTTAGAAGGCCTTGCTTCGGGATTTGGCTTTAATCGTCAGGTGCAGATGATAATTAGCATCAGGCTTTGTGTTTGTAACTGGAAGCCTACGCCCTACGTGTTAAAAGGTGGTTTTAGTATTGTCTTTGATTCCACCTCCTATATGAAGTTCACACACACACACACACACACACACACACACACACACACACCCACCCAAAACCAAAGACCATCAGTTTCTCTGTCTTTGATTCCACCTCCTATATGAAGTTAACACACACCCAACCACCCACCCACCCACTCTCCCTTCCTCCCTCCAAAACCAAAAGACCATCACTTTCTCTAGAGTGCAAACCCTGCACGAATGATGTTTCACAATCAGTATAACTTAAGTATTTCTAGCACGTTGAAGTCATTCCTTAGACCTTAGCAAAATCCTATGTGTCCGATTTTTATACTCCTTGTGCAAATAAGGAGTTATTTTGATTTTTAGATAAGGTCTTGCTCTGTAGCCCTGGCTGGCCTAGTGCTAGCTACCTAAAGCAGGCTAGTCTTGAGTTTGCAGTGATCCTGTGTCTGTGGCCCTCGAATTATATGTGTGCCTGCCTGGAACACTGTCTTTTTGGAATTTCCTCCTGGAAACAGCTGTTTTCCTACTCCAAGATATTTATTTACGTGATGTGTGTCTGGTATAATGCTAGCCTGTTTTTCTTTCCTCAATCTTACAGGCATTTTCACGAAATCCAAAGCACCATTTCTACTTTACCTTGCTACCTACCGAGAACTCACATCTCATTTCCAGGTTTTCTTTTGCAAGTAGACCTTGAATACTCTTGTAACCAGCAGACTTGTTTCTGATTCTAAAATTATCTGCCTGTCTCCACTGCTGCTGCTGTGATTCCAATCTTTACACTCTGGACTAATAATATTTTCCTTGTTTCTACACAGTTCTTCTAGGTTCTTGTGAAGAACAACTCACTTTATTTTTCCTTCACTGTTACCTCTGTAGTTTAATTTTGAGACTACAATCTGAACTTGTCTTCAGGTTTCCCCATAATTTGAGCCTGGCCTTTCCTTCATACCTAGCTAGCTACACTCAGTCAACAAGCTGACACCTAGAATCTTTGTCCTCAGCCTAATTTGTTTTCTAGCCTTTTCAACATTCCGTTCTGGGCTTCCTCAGAATTATTTCCTTAGAGGAGCCTTCTCACAGCCCTCAGTCTTAGGTAGCTCCTTGAAACCTAACTGTCTTAGGGTTTCTTTCGATTGCTGTGGTAAAACGCCATGATCAAAATCGTCTTGTGGGATAAAGGGTTTATTTCAGCTTGTAGCTCTGCATCCCAGTCCATGATCAAAGGAAGTCCCCACAGGAACTCAAGCAGAACTCCTACGGAGGAGGGTTGCCTACTGGCCTGCTCCATCTGCATGCTTTCTTTTTTTCTTTTGAAGGTTATTTATTATGAATACAGTGTTCTGTCTGCGTGTATATCTGCAGACCAGAAGAGGGTACCAGATCTCATTACGGATGGCTGTTAGCTACCATGTGGTGGCTGGGAATTGAACTCAGGACCTCTGGAAGAACAGCCAGTGCACTTAACAGCTAAGCCATTTCTCCAGCCCCCAGTCTGCTTTCTTATAAGCACCCAAGAGTGCTTTCTTATAGCCCAGGGAGTTGGTACTGGCCAAAGTGAGCTGGGCTTTTCCACATCAATCATTGATTAAGAAAATGAACTACAGATCAATTGAGCAACCCTCATATGAACTCACAGACTGAAGCAACAAACACAGGACCTGGTCTGCACCAGGTTCCCCCGACACCCCCCCCCCCCCATGCGCTTGCGCCACCGGGTGTGTGTGTGTGTGTGTGTGTGTGTGTGTATGTATGTATGTATATATGTACATGTACACACACTTAGTAACGTAGTATCTTTATGGGACTCCTGATTGTGTAAATGAATGGGTCTCATTCTCTTGCTTTCTCTTGGGAATTTTTTTTTCCCTACTTTTGGTTTGTCTTGTCCAACTTTGATGTGATGGTTTTTGTTTTATCTTAGTATAATTTGTTTTGTTATGTTTGTTAATCTCTTAGAAGACAGTCTTTTCAAATGAGAGAGAAAGGGAGTGGATCCTGATGTGAGGGGAAGGAAGGAGGAACTGGGAGGAGTATTGAGAGGGAAAACTGTAATCAGGATATATTGTGTGAAAAAAGAAATCTGTTTGTAATAAAGGGATGGGGGTACACCACAGACTGGCCTACAGGCAAATCGTGTGGAGGCATTTTCACAATGTAGAGCCCCTTCCAAATATTGTAGCTTGTGTCAGTTTAACATAAAACTAGCCAGCACACCACACTATTAAATTTATGGCATTGTTTATCATTTTCTGTAAACCATTTGATCCTTAACTCATGTGCTTCTTCCCCAGTTTTACCTTAACTGCATTGTCAAGAATAGAGGCAGGCATTTGGTTTTGTTCACTGTTTTATCCTCACCATTGAGAATAGTGACTGGCACATATGTGTTCAATAAAAATGCCTAGATGTCTCAAATAGCTTTTTAGCATGTTAGTATTTTACTTTCATTCTCTACAACAAATGGAAGTGCATAGATCACAATCTTACAATTTACTAAAATTACTTTAATATTTTTCACTTTGCTTATTGTCTAATCATCTGAATATTTACATACTCATAACTTAATATTAATTGTGGAGTAGCAAGCTTTCTGAATTTAAACTGGAATTATTCCATTTGACAGATTCTACCCCCCTGAACTGAAAATTTTTGGGTTACTGCATTTTGATTGCAGTTATAAAAACATGCAAAGTAAAAGTTCAGAGGAGGGATTTTTGTGAGTTATGGACAACTGTTGACATTGAACAAGGGTTCTTACTGCTTTTACAATAAAATATTTCTAACAGTTCTCAGTGATGTACAAGTAGAGTTTATACTTTTGTTAACTTGTATTCTAATTTAGTTGCAATAATGTGCAAGCTCTTGCTACCAGCAAAAGATTTTAAGTTTGGTAAGGTAGGTACTTAAGTAACATGCACAGTTAAGTCAGATGCAACAGTTAGAAGTGCTATGGAGTGTTTCTTTCCTGTCGTAGAAGTCAGAACTCTTATTATAATACTGTCTCCAACTGTCATAAGTATTTCATGACCACACTTAGTTTGCAAGTTACTTAGCCCTGAGTAATCTTGAAACTTCTTAAAATTTTCACAAAACCTTTGTTTTTCTGACAAGTGATAAAATTTTCAGAGGTAAAAGAAATCAAGATAATTTCAGTCTTTTAGAGGTTATTGGTAAATTTTAAGGGTCCCTTTTGAATTTATTCCTTAATTACTTTATATTTACTCTATGTATCAGCATTCTGAAAGTTGGATTGAACATATACGTAAGTAAAATTATTTCGTGTATATGATGTGTATATGTATGTCAATAGATAAGACTGTAGATTTATGTTACTGTCAGCTTTAATCTTTATTGTAGCTTCAGTAGCTTCCTGTTACATAAAATGATCCATTTTTTTTCAGTCATAGTGTTTTTAAGTTTTAAATTCCATTTTTGATGATGTATAAGCATATTGAAAATTTTATGCTGTGAATAGGACCAAAATAAAACACCATTTAGTCTGTTAGAACCTTCAGCTTTTTAACATATTTAGTGCCATTTAGAAAATACTCTGAGTTAGAAAAAGCTCATTGTCTAGACTCTAGATGTTGACAAATTTGTCATTTGGAAAATTTTTACTCTCATCTCCTTCTGTTTCATGACATCTTATTAGAAATCTGTTTTCTGATGTCCATGAATGCTATGGCATGTGTATGCATGAACTTATACATACAAACATGTATACAGACAGATATGGCAGAAAATGTGTCATTTCATTCCTTTACATTTCTGTCAGCCCAGCTATGAGGCATTATATATATCTGTCTATATAATTGTTAAATTTGAATTTTTATCACTTTGGAAACATATTTTTTTAAAGTGTATTTTAATGGTAGTAGATCCCGTTGAGTAGACACATCTATACCTATTTAATTTCTTTAGCTTTTCTTCATTTGCTGGATGTAATGACTGTTTTCGCCCCTCCCCTTTTTTTTTCTATTATATGTTTTACAGTGAAATACTAAAGTTTCTCTGTAGAATATGATGTGTGACTTACAAACTTTGGGTTGACATTACTTACATATTCTCATTTGACAGTAAGGGCAGTGACTTACTGACTGACATGGTATAATATTTTTACAAAATGTTATTTTCTTTTATAGGAATTTTGAAAATCATTATTGATATGTTTTTACCTCATATGAATCACCTGACACTGGAACAGACTTTGTTTTCCCAAATTTTACCAAAGG